CCGGACGGAAAGCAGACGGAGACGTCGGCCGGTCCTCCGGCTGTCACCCCGGGACAGGCGCAGTGCGACCGCGGCGACGACGAATCGGTTCCAAACAGCACCGGCAACATGGTGATGGAGTCATGGGTCGACAGTATCGTGGACACAGGGGTGGACTCGGACGTTTCTGACACAGAGACCGTCTCTACAATCGTGGGTCCGGTGGCCTCTCCGCCCGCCGACTTAGAGACGGATGAGGCCGCCCCAGCGGCGAGCCAGGATGTAAACGCAGACACTCAGCATCCGCGAGCCACGACACGCGCCCCGTCCCCAACCCCGTCAGAGGGGATGAAGACCAGAGCCGCAGCGGCGGCTGCTCGTGAAAAATCTGTTTAACACTCAACACACATAAAACATGCATCGATCTGATGAATTCGTCCTCCAGTGGAACACTTCCTCTCTAGTGAGCCACTGGGGCGAATTCAAGAACTATATATTAAATAAAAAACCGTTGATAGCCGCCATTCAGGAGACCCATTTTCTGGACTCAGATTCCTCTAATTACAACTTTAACATACGTGGATATACTTTATATACAAATAACGTAAATGAAAAACCCCGCCGAGGCGGCTCGGCCCTTTATATTGCTAATAACCTCTTGCACCACGAAATTCAGCTCCGCACCACGCTTAACGCGGTCGCAGCTCAAGTCAAAATAGCGCAACATGACCTTGCCATCCTTTCCCTGTACCTTTCCCCAAGCCACCGCTTTTCCTCCTCTGAACTCCGCCAATTGTTTGTCCAGCTTCCCCACCCCTGCCTAATACTAGGAGATTTTAATGCCCACCACAGATCCTGGGGCTCAACAACGAACAACGCGCGCGGAACACTAATTGATAAGATAATGGATTCACTTGATCTCATTTGCATTAACAACCGCACACCCACTTTCACCAGACGCAACCAAGGTCAAGTCATACACTCCGTCATCGACTTGGCCTTCACAGACACTAACACCGCGACACTTTTCACTCAACACGTCGGAGATGATACACTGTTTAGCGACCATTATCCCATTCACTATCAACTTAATGTCCCTTCAGGACAAGCCAATTTTACATTTCTTCCTCGTTGGAACTTTAAGAAAGCTGATTGGGCCTCCTTTCAAAAACATATAGATGAACACACTCCCACCCCTCCCCCTGACATCAACACTTTTTTAAACGTGATTCTCGCTGCTGCTCACCAAAATATTCCCCATACCCACCCCCCACGTGAAAACAAAGCTGCCCCTTGGTGGAACGCTGACTGCAATCGAGCTGTAGCTCTGCGGAAGCGTGCCTTACGAGTCTTTAACAAATGTATTTGCGATTACCATGAAAATGCCCTCCGGAAGGCCCGATATGATGCTTCACAAATAATACTTAAAGCAAAACAAGAAGGATGGCACTCCTTCTCTAACAGCTTTAATAGATTTACTCCCCTTTCTAAAATCTGGTCGCTAATTAGAGTTTTTTCGACAAGGCGCAGCACAACTTACAAAATTCCTCATCTCTACATTAACAACACCCACTACACCACTCCCCTTCAAGTTGCGACACAATTCGCCCAACATTACGCACGAATATCTTCTGCTCAACAATACACACAAGTACAACATGACAGCTTTAACACAACACTCGACACCCTCTCCTTCGACTCAGCAAATACTGAAAATTATAACAAGCACTTTGACTTGTTCGAACTTAGACACGCCATATCTCGATGTGGTGAAACGTCGGTAGGGCCGGATCAGATAGCCTATCCTTTCTTCAAAAACCTTTCTGAATCCGGCCTTGAAAACCTTTTGATAGTAATCAATAATCTATGGGAAAACAATTTGTACCCCGAGAGCTGGAGAAACAGTACCATCGTCCCCATCCTTAAACCCTCCAAACCACCCTCCTCCCCCTCTAGTTATAGACCTATATCCCTAACCAGTTGCGCTGCTAAATTGACAGAACATATGGTCAATGGACGGATTAGGGCATATCTAGAAGGTAACTACCTCCTCTCTCCACATCAAACAGGATTTAGGTCCGGCCGCTCCACGGCAGACAATATAGTCCACCTCATTGATGACATCCAGAAGGGCTTCCAAAATGACATGTATACATTTGCAGTTTTCATTGATTTTCAAAACGCCTTTGATAAAGTAAATAAACAAGCCCTTCTGATCAAACTTCATAAGACAGGTATTCGCGGCCACATGGCCCATTATATCTCTAATTTCCTCAAAGATAGAACATTTAACGTACGATGCGGTAACACATTTTCTCCCAATCTTAATCAGGATCACGGCCTCCCTCAGGGCAGTGTCCTCTCCCCAACTCTCTTCCTTATTATGATTAACGACCTTTTTCAAAACCCACCTAGTAGCCTTAAGCATTCTATTTTTGCCGATGATGTGGCCATTTGGGTAACGCGAAGAAACATTGACTCGGCTTTTGCCTCCGTTCAAAACGCAATGGAGGATATTCATAGCTGGTGCGATAAATGGGGCCTAGTCTTGTCGCCCAGCAAAACAGTAGCACTTATATTCTCCCATAAGTCCCGTTTTAAATTTGATACCGAACTTAAAGTAAAGAACCAAACTATCAAATACGTTAAAACGTTCAAATACCTCGGCATCACACTAGATAGTAGACTCTCCTTTAAACATCACTTTGAAGACGTTAAAATGCGTTGCACTAGGCGCCTCAACATACTTAAGTGTATAGCAGGAAAGGATTGGGGTGCTGATCGCAGCACCCTCCTTAACCTATACACTTCCCTAATCCGTCCTATCCTGGATTACAACAGTTTTCTATTTGATGATATAGCTTCTAATCAGATCGAATCACTTCAAGTTATACAAAATAAGGCCCTGCGTATAGTTACAGGAGCCCAATGCACCACAAATATCAAGGCTCTCCACGCAGAATGTAATATTCCTCTTCTCTCTCACCGCCGTAAACTCCAACTCCTTCGCTTCTATGCGCGCACTTTCTTGTCCCCTTATTCGCCTTCGCACCGCATTGTCTCCAATCGATATACGGACGACCCTCCCACAACGGCCCAACTCAAATACCCGATAATCGCCTATCGCATAGAAAGGACACTCAGTGATTTCCAGTTGGATTTTCCATCTATTTTTCATCGGCCACCCATCTCTTCTTTCTTTCTGCCAGCCATAGAGAATATTGCATTCCTGTACGCAGAGGCAAAATCAAAAGTCACAAAAGAAGAAAGCATTCAACTTTTCTATGAGCATAAAGAAGAACATAAAGACTATGCATACATATATACAGATGGTTCAGTTTGTGACGGGAGGACGGCAGCCGCTGTCACATCTGACTATCATAACAAAACAAGTAGGCTACACGACGACCATAGCATATTTAGTGCTGAGTTGATAGCCATTCACTCAGCACTCAAATATGTCTCATCGAAAAACATAGAAAAGGCTGTGATCTGCACAGACTCAGCTTCATCGGTAAAGGCAATAGCTCACAGAAAAATGGAAAAAAACGAAATCGTTTATAAAATAAAAAAGATGATTATTGGCTTTACCGATGAAAACAAACACGTCATTCTCCTGTGGATTCCGTCCCACGTTGGAATACAGGGGAATGAAAAAGCGGACAAGCTAGCCAAAGAAGGTCTTCATCTCCCATCTCGAAATCATCTCGCTCTCCCCCTTCCGGATTTTCTGTCTTCGCTCTTCCGTGCCTTCCAGAGATACCGCCAAAAATGCTGGATAGATGATCATACACCACATCTCTTCTCCATTAAACCGAAACTTTGCCATTTCTACTCTTCCCATCAAAACACAAGGATCAAAGAGAGAGTCCTAGCCAGGCTCCGGCTCGGCCACACACAACTCACCCACAACTACATCCTGGACAGAGCACCTCCACCCATATGTCACCACTGCCGCGACCACCCACGCTACACCATCTCACACTTCCTCCTCCACTGCCCACACCTACACCAACACCGCAGACATATAGTACAATACATTAACACACATGGACTCTCTCTCGACCTTCCGACTCTCCTGGGCGACTCTCATCCGGATATCCACGACCTTCTGTTCGTCTTTCTCGCCGACGCTCGGATCATCAAGAGCCTTTAGCGTGTTAGGGCCGCGGCTGCCGCCCCTAAAACGCTAATCAGAGCCCTCGTCTCCCGGCTCACCCCCAAACTCACACATTAATTAATCGCGGTTACAGGGCTTTTTCCCTCGCGCCGTTTTGGCTTAGGTGCGAGGTTTTTGCCCTTTGCGTTAGGCGTCGGGTTTTTTATTATTTAGGACTTTTTCTCCCGACCATTACACCCCACAACAAGGCCCCGCCGGGGGGCTGGAGCCTAGAAGGTCTTATACCTTCTGTCAGTGCGATGAAAGCTTCCCGGCTCCATTACACTGACACCAGCTCACAAGTGTTCATGTCTATTATGTATTGTTAATAAAAGTCATTCCCACTGTTGTGTTTGCGACTCCAGACATCTCGGCTCTTTGGCTATACACGTAAGTACCTCCCTTAGCTTTGATTCCACATTAAGATAGGATCCCACGTTATTTTTGCCACCGGGTTCACATAAACCGGTTTAACGTAAGACTTGCTGCCCGGCGAAAATTGCCGGAGTAACTGCCCCCTGCTCGGGTATGGCACTAGGCCGACCGAGCAAAAAAAAAAAAAAAAAAAAAAGCGAACAACATCGTACATACTGCGTCATTTGTTTTCCTGCTTTTTTTTTTGCTCGCTAACTTGCCAATGCAGCGCAAGGGAAGCACGTCTGAAGCTCTATTACTCAATTCAATTTAAAATTTGACGATTATTTTGGGGTCTACGAAAAGAAAAATGGTCCACGGCGATGTTGTGCTGCCGTTTGGAAGCCGGCTACTATGGAAACGGGTCGCTAGCGGGAATGTGGCAAGTGTTTTGAACAGGGCCTTGGGCGGGCCCAGAAAAAGCGCCGCTGTGTCATACGCGCAGTACTAGGGCGGTGTGCGTCGCTGGCGCTGGTCGGTACTGCGATTGGGGTGTGGTGCTGAGCTGCGTGAGAACACTTTTCATCTCCACTTTCATCTGGGCCCTGTTTCAGCGGTGATAGCAGCACGCCGCTATCAAATTGCGCGAGCTGACGTAATGTGATGACGTCATACTGCTGACGTAAGGGGCGATTCTGGCGCACGATTGCCGCAATATTGTTTTACGTCATCAACTAAATGTTCGAAGTTTACGTCCAAATTTTCCTTCAACCCAATGTCTTTTATATACATCATCTTAAAAAAATATATATTGAAAATAAATATACTATCATGACTGCGTAAATTCTTACTTTTAGGCTCATACGTCACTTAATGCCGCAGCCAAGGTCGCGGGCATCGTGCGCCGGAACTGCCCATCACGTCAGCAGTATGGCGTCATGACATGACGTCAGCTCGCGAAACGTGATAGCAGCTGCTATCACCGGTGAAACAGGGCCCCGGCTGCTCTTGACCGATGAAGAGGACATCTCATGCTTTATGCATGAATGCTTTCAGCAGTGAAACTTAGTAGTGCATTACATACTGGTGATGGTCTGAGTTCTGACACTGGTCACTGAGGATGGATCACCCTGGAGGTGCGAGCCATTATGATGAAGATCTCATCGAAAATCCCTTCTTCAAGGACTTGTGCATTAGGTTTCCTGATGCTTACAGCAAGGCCGTATCTGATGGCTGGGTCATCTGCATCCCTCGCTCCGGCAGCTACAAGGCTGTGGACCTGACTGACAGTGACATCCTGTCTCACATTCTTGTGCCTGATAGTGATGACCACAGCTCATTTCACACTATCACCAACAAGCATGTGAAGAAGAAGAACAATGCATACATCCTGGAGGAAGATGGGGCCATCCACGAACAGAGTGTACACATTCTCTTCACTGAGACATGCTACTCAGAGGAGCTCAAGAAGCATGATATCTGTTGCCTGGAGCGGCCACTGTGCACGTCCGGCAGCCCCTACTACCAGGTGCGAGCTGAACTGCAGACTCTGAGTGGGATGCATGATTGCCTGAGTTTCCTATGGTCTGTGGGGAACGGACACAGTGCGGTCAATGCTGTGAACAGGTGCTGCGGAATGTTTGTGGAAAGCCACCCAAATCTGAAGGTTCTGAGCCTTCAGCAGCTATGGGAGAAGGTTGGTCAGCTGTACTCGAAAGCACTCAAAGTTTTCTGCGAGAAGGGTCATATTGTGGACCAGTTAAAGGAGGATTTTCACTTTGCTGAATCTGTGAAACTGGCTCTTGAAACATATGTCCTGTACCTGCTGTATCAGAAGTTGATGGAATGTCTGCTTGCCATCACTGCTGTTGATGATGCCAAGCTGAACAAGACAATCCAAAACCTCCAGGAGTTGCAGCCATGCGACCTCGGCATCAGGCCAGTGTACGAGCCGAGCCTCCAGTCTGCCAGACAACAGATGCAAAAACTGACCCGACAACACCACCCTCTCGGCAAGTTCCTCACTCTGAGGCGGGTCACTCGCGAGTTTGACCAGCAGCCTCACAACAGTGACACCACCTCTTCCTCCAGTGAAGAGCCTCCTCCTGGCACACAGCTGTCGTCAGACGACCTGCTACCCATCTTCATCTACCTGGTCCTCCACACGTCGATCGCCAGCTGGACGGCTCAGCTGGTGCTGATGAAGATGTTCCACTTCTCGGCCAGCTCCTGTAACCACGACCAGTACGGCTTCCTGGCGGCCACGCTCGAGGCAGCTCTGGAGCACATCAAGTCGGGAGCTCTCGGAGACGAAGAGCCACTCCCAGAGGCTCTTGCCGACGAGGCAGCCGCAGCTTCATCTCACGAAAACATGACGGAATCGTCTTCAGAAAGCACCTCTGCGTCAGGACCTTCGGACAATCAGCCTGAGGGTGCGGGCACCGCGAACTCGCCGCCTACCGGCGCCGTGTCCGTCCCAGAGATGTTTCATCATGTGGCGCGTGACGATGCCGAAGCACTAGCTGCCATCCTAGACTCCCGTCCCGAGTCGGAGCCCCCGGCGCGGCCTCTCTGCCATCCCCTGTGCACCTGCTCTGAGTGTCGTCTCGCGCAGCAGCGGCGCGCCGGCGTGGCGCCGACAGTCGCCTCCACGGACGGCGCCGGACGCACCGCTCTCCACCTGGCAGCCTCTCACAGCTCTGTGCGCTGTATTGAGCTCCTCACCTCCCGCGGTGCCGTGCTGGACGCCCGAGATCTCTCCGGCGCCACACCGCTGCACTGCGCGGCGGCGCGCGGTCACCAGGGCGCCGCACTGCTTCTGTTACACCTTGGAGCGTCCGCGGGTCGGCGAGACGCACGAGGCAATACGGCACTTCACCTGGCAGTGAATAACGGCCATCGGGGCGCGGCGCAGGCGCTGCTCTACCACGCGGAACAGACGGGAGCGCCGGCCGGTGTGAACGCGCTCAATGCTGACGGGGACGCCCCGCTTCATCTGGCCGCCCGCTGGGGGTACGGTGATGTGGCGCTCCTGCTAGCAGCTCACGGTGCAGCGAGAGATGTGGTGAACCATCGAGGTCTGACCCCACTCGACGTGGCACACGATCATGTTCTTCGTCGACATCTAGTGGATGCGTGTGATCGATTCCGACGCAGCGCGCCTAAGCGACTGGTGCGATTGCGCGGTGCCGAGCCGACGCGGCCGCTGGCTGCGGTTACCTCTCCGCCTGCGGGCCGCGCGGTGCGTCGCCTCTTCGCCGCTATAGCCGCAGGAGACGAGCGGCTAGCCTGCTTCCATCTGGGACTGACCGCCGGCAGCGATGGCTCGGCTCTGTGCCATCCTCTGTGCGCGTGTTCGAGGTGTGCTCCGCTAGCAGCCCAGCGCAGCGCGGCACCCGTGCCAATATCATGCCAGGACTCATCAGGAAGGACGCCTCTCCACGCAGCCGCCTCAGCTAAACTCCCCGACCTGACACGACTCCTCCTAGACAGCGGCGCTGACCCAAACCCCGCCGCCACGGACGGGTCAACACCTCTCCACTGCGCCTGTGCCGCTGAGTTTGTACCGGGCGCTGCTGAGCTGATCGCTCGCGGTGCTGACGTGTGCTGTGCTGATACTGCTGGGAGGACGGCTCTGCATGTGGCTGCCGGCCGAAGGAACGCTGACCTGTGTCGGCGACTGCTGAGGGCTGGTGCGGACAGGACGGCCCGCTGTGCGCGGGGTCTGACTCCGCTCGATCACGCTGGGAAGGGCAGACAGGTCCTCAGTAGAGTGTTTGTGGAAATGGCCGGAAAGGCGGCAGCTGAGGATGAGTGAGGGAGAGGGGAGAGAGTGAGAGGGACGGGAGCATTCCGGAGGGAGTGGAATGTGGATTTTCTAAACTTGATGATTGTTTGGCGTTGATTGTTCATGAATTGTGTAATAATCACCGAGCCTTACGTAATAATCGGTTTGAGTGTTTCGTTAGTAATTGAAGGCACTAGACTCTAGATGTGCTGTTGTTTAAATGTACTCTGAAATGCGTGTGAAACGCTGCCGTGTAGTCAGCTCTTTTAATCAAAAGCGTAACTCCTAGGTGCTTTGATTTTCATAGTCGAATGTGAATGCACACGTTCGCGGATGTGTTGATAAGTTCGAGATTGTTACGGAATTATTATGTACAAATGATGCGTTCCACAAATCCAATTTGTTATCGTTGCTGTTGACTAGATTACGGGCGTTTTGACATTACGTCGTGTATCACATGCTTGCACCAGGGGCGCACTATATCAGCGCCATGTCTGCTTTTGCAGACATGCCCAGATTCATCATACTCAAAATAACAAATTTGTATCGGCTCTGCACGGGTGGAGAATTGTGCTGGACTGGGGGTGCTCGAGCTCTCCCAATTCCACGCCGGCCACGCCGGCTTGGCTTTGGAGCCGCGGCCGGGCGGCGCGGGTCAAGGTCACCGCTAGGCGGCGGCGGATTTGCTGCGCCCGAGCACCCCCAGCTGGTCACAATTCTCCACCTATGCGGCTCTGACATAATTCTTTTTAGATGTTATTGCTTTGAAGCGTTATTAGGCTAATGTTTCCATCTTTCGATGTAGTGGATGCAAATGTAACTTGTTCCTGTATCGTTGAGTCTGCTGATGTACCTATATTACTACAATGTTGGTAGGTACTAGTTAATACTAATGACCGTATTTGCTGCAATATGCTCTAAAGATTTCTTGCCATTTACGTGATGTTCTTTGACATTTGTGCCATTTGCATTAATCGTTACTTGAACAGCTGTCCATAAGCATGGCATTACATAAGTCTAGTAAATTCGTTAGTCAGCTGAATTGAACACACGAGGTGAATGTTGAACTAATGTATTCTACACACTGGTCATTTTGTGACCCCACACTTTGGTGAAACTGACATACGGTCAGCTGTGGTGCCTTTCGGTCGGTTCTATTAGGAACAATGCCGAGCGACTCGTCAGCTTCGTTATTCACAAACCCTAATAATCTTTGGGTCTTGTATCTGCGATTTTTGTCATGTAATGTTTTCATGGTGAAGTTTTTCACTCACGTTACATTCTAATCTGGGCTGTGAATTTCGTCTTTTTGGGTGCTGTACCACACGTTATGTGCTTGGAATGTATTTTCGCACGTTTGCTAGAAGGCTGACCACTAACAGCCTTTGGCTTTATCTCTGTTATTCGCCAGTCACAATGTGCTGACAGTCCTCGCCTTTTTTCGAGCCGTGTAGTTGAATGGAACTTCGTTGTTAATAACTTCGCTCGTTGCAAGTTGAAGGTGAACTCTGATTTCAGATGCCCTTACTCTTTGTAATATTCCCTTGGTAACGAGCCAGACGTTCTATGTGCTCTTATGTTACTCGTGCTCTGAATGAATAAACAACTCTATTCCAAACCGTCTGTCCGTTTCACGAGTTTAACGCCGGTGAAAGCCACTGCGTACCAGATAGAGCTAGGCGTGACATGAATCACTCGCGAGAGAATAAACGGTCGTTCGCTAGTACTGGGAAATCACTTTATAACACGTCATCAGGCGCCTCATGACGACTGGAAATTCAGCTGTTTGTTACCATGCCACAAGTCTACTGGAACACATCGCGTGAGGGAAGGTCTCGCACGTTTTTCCAGCCCAGTTACATTCCAGACTGTGACGGCCAAGGCATTCCGCAATGCGGCTCGGTGTTGCAGAGCTACAGATCCATTTGCTCTGTTGTTTATTGTTGCAGCCCTGCACACTGGCCTTTGACCGACGTCTGGATGATGCAGACACGATTCTAGCGTTTCGTCGCGCTTCCGGTGCCTGAGGAAACATAAGATGACGTTTATATGTATGCTACGCAAGCCGTAGCAATATGGCCGAAGACCCTGCTGATTTCTGTCCGATTTTCGATCATATGACGATTCCTGACGTCACGCCCGAATTCTGGCATTCAATCTAGCCCTTTTACCGTCCATTTTTAACATGTGTCTCTTGACGCTAACTTCAGACGTCTGGGGTTGAACGTCTATTACTCTATTTACTCTCGATCTTAACCTACAACCAATGAGTTCTGATCTCTGACCTCTGACCTCTGACCCCTGGGCCCTGACCTTTGACCATTGACTTCTGAGCCTGACCCCTAGCCCCTGACCCCTGACCTCTGACCCTGACCTCCCCCAACCTCCGTCAGGTCATCTTTGGGCCGATGTTCAGTGGCAAGACGACGGAGCTGATCCGGCGACTGAAGAGGTACCAAGTGGCCAACCACCGCTGTCTCATCATCAAATACGCCAACGACAACCGGTTAGTGACGACGTACTGATGCCTTGGCGTCTTGTCTGCTGCATTTAACTAACTTATGTTTTCATCCCGAGAAGTCTTATTTGTAGTCTCTGAACTAGAAAGATTGAGACTTTACTAAGAGAGCAAGGATATTTAACCGTGGAGAAGCACCGAGCCGTAAGTTTATTTCGCTTTGACTGTGCACATTTTCCGACAATTGCCCTCAATGATCTGCACTTTTCACCGATCTATTGGTGAAAGTTAGCACTCAAGCCGGCATACGCTAAGGTACGCTGAACGCTCTATCAGCTATTCCCGAGTCACCAGTTTCAGACGTCAGTTTCCAATAGCGGCTGGGTCGGTGTTTCGCCATTTCTGATGTACCTACGCGATATGACAGCAGAAGAGATCGATCTAAAAACACGTTCGAAAACGGTTGTTTGGTGCGAGTCGCGCCAAACCAGAAAAGCGTGTCACGAATGGTCCGGACTTTTGTACGGGGCCGCTGATCGTCGTCGGGGCGTTTCTCATTAATATCTTACGCTCGATTCGATGGTTCTTCTAGCTATTTTGGCAAATTCTTATCGTCTGGTGTGTCCTCAGACTATGTGTAGCGATGCTTCTGAGAAGGAGAAGATGGCGCTCTTCAGATATCCTGCCCTCGGTGAACTAATTAGCACCTAGCGAGTGAGGAATGCGCTAGGTCCTGGAGGGTGGGGCCGCCGGCTCTTCGCAGCACGATAGGATCCAAAATTAAATCGGTGGACCGGTCTCTGGCGTAGCGGGCGGCCGACGGGTCTGTGGTGATGGGTAAGAATTGCTGTTTGTTTGGCACCCGAGACCAGCCACCCATCCGTCCTACCCCTGGGTCTAAAACTGTATGAAGAGCAAATAAATATCGTAGATATCAACGTCTGGCAGCCAAGTTATGCTTACATAATGTAATTGATATATTTTTTGCTATTGATTACTAATTTATCTGTGCTCAGACGACGGCATTTCTGGATTTTGTCTGCCTGTTTACTTTTCTCCCGCGTAGTGCCTGTATTGTGTTACCGATGGCTTCATGTAAGTCGCGGCATGTCCTTTTATCGTATGTTTGTCTATGGTATACAAGTTGACTATCATTAGCGAATTCGTTAGTCAGATAGCAGTGGCCTTTTTGTTGTTTTTGTTGTTAGGGGCAGCCCTGTCTCCCATTCCACGTCAAGAACAGATGACTATTCTGAGTCTGACCACGGATCACATAACGGATCGGCAACTCCCCCCGCGACCTGTATCCCCTGCCACCTGGTGGGCATTTAGGTGAACTATCTTCACTAAGGACGCGGCCGGCCTCGTGCGTGTTGAGGGCGTCGTGTCGGAGCTAATTAAGTGATTTTTCTGCGGAACGTGGTTTCTCAGCTAGCTCAGAAGATATCTATGGTATAAATGAGAATGGCAAGAATCGTTAGAGACAGGTTAAGTATTTGAGATTGTATCCTTTGTCATGAAAATCGTTGTTTTCATACCCACGTGGGCGACCTAGCGCCCATCGCGAAATTGGTAATTTTCCGATCGTTGTCATCTCTTACATATATTTCATGAGTATATTTTTGATAAATATTCATCTGACGATTAAATTAAACCTGTAACTTTCACAAATATACTTGCATAAAGTATAAACCCACGCCGGGACGGTACACGGTACCAACCGCGCCGGGCCGAGAGTGTATGAAACCACCGCCCCCCCCCCCCCAAACTCGGCTTCTGGGCCACGTAGCCACACGGGGTAAGCGACATTCCAAAAAGCGTAAAAACTAATGGCGGATATACTTAGGTCATTTTTAGGTCAGGTCAAAGGTCAGGTCACTAGAGGTCATTAAAGACAAATTTTGTTTATTTCAACAACTTTCGAAACACCCGACGCATAACTTGGGAACCAATAGAACTACAGCGCCGCGGAAAAGCGCATTCGATAGCTCTTTCACAGGTCTTTCTGAGTTTTATTCTTAGATTTGACCTCAGGTCAACGGTTTAGCCTCCAGAGGGCAAAAACTCCAAAAATAGCCGTGTTTACGAAAGACGTTTTTTTCGGTAATAACTTTTGCCTCAAACGAGCCACGACATTACTTTTGCCAGCATCGTGTTCCTCTCGTCGAGACGCGTCGAATGAACTATAGATTGACCTTGAAAGGTCATTTTGAAAATTTTACGTCAGGTCGAGGTCATGACCTGACCGGAAAAGGTCATGCTGCATATCAGTCGATCCGTATCGTCGAGCACGAGCTGAACACATCTGACGTGTTTTCACCGCTCTAGCACGTCTCTATCAAAAGTTATAGTAAAAAATCTGTTGGTGAAGTGGTGACCGTTTTCATGTCACTGTTTACATGTAACCCGATGTTTGAGGGTGTTAAGAATGACCCGCCCAGACCAAATGAGACGACTTTCAATTTTCTATTATTGACTTATCATTAGTATTATATATCATTATATATAGAGATAGAGAGAGTATTGAGTATTGAGTATGAGCCAATATACAGGCAATATACATAATATAGGGTGTAAAATGACCTGACCTGGCTCTTAGCCACAGATATCTTGAGATGTAACACGTGGCTAAACCAGCCTTGGGGCCAAAGCTATAGTCACTGTTTAGCGGCACGCTGCTACCCAGTACCTCACATCATCAGGTATGGGTGCCTCCGTTCCTATGGAAACGTAAGCAAACTTTACAATGTTACCAACGTCTTTATGGAAACCGGCTAAGTTTCGATACCTTGTAGCGGCGGGGAGAGTCGTATCGTGAAACAGGGGCCGAGATCCACCTATAGTCACGTTAATGGCCAGCTCGTTGGATTTGCTCCGATGTTATCTACTCCAACTGGTAGCCGGTGACCGTCTAGATAGGAACAGGGGACGAACTCGTACTATGGGCAGACGGCAGACTTGTAAACGATTCAAAAAAATTCAATCAATTCAATCACGACTCACTTGATGAAATGACCGATTCAATCATAACTCAATCAAACAGTCTGATTTTCCAAGCGATTCAATCACGACTCATGGACCTTGTGATTCAACTCAATCACGACTCATCCCATTATCAGTGATTCAGGGAATGACTCAACTCATGATTTAACTCAACGCGATTCAATCAAGATGTTATATAAAATTTATACATATGTGATATCAATTCAAGACATTTTTGGAAACTGATACCAAACAGATACCAACCAAATACACTAAGAAAATACCAAAAATCATAGAAAAGTACTGAATCTATACTGAACTCAACAAAGCTGTAGATATTTATATAAATACTGTGTAAAGATGATAATTTAAGTACAGAAAAGACAAGCTCTGTTACAAATGAAGCTACCAGAGGACTTATAAAAATTCATTTATCTGCTTGGCGCTTGCAAAAGGAAACATGCAAAATTGCACAGGACACTACCACATATTATCAAATATCAGCATCATCGAAAAGGACCAAAATTTGCAAATCAATTGTGATACCCAAACTAAAATAGCTGGTGATCAGCCATTAAAAAAATATTGATGGATACTTTATGAAGCAGTGGTAAAGCCGGTAAAGCATTACACAGGACTAGACATTTTCGGCGTGCTACAAGTTTTCTTTACTATCAAGAATACGGAATATCGACACATACGAAGCTATTCAATAGTTACATAATATAAACTGAATGCTCTCACGATAAAACTACCTCAACCATCCATATCTTCAATGACAAAATAACAATTCCAAGCCCAACCCACGACACCAAACTTCATACGCGGCGGAGCTGAGTTGCAAGTTGTAAAGGCCTGGCTACCAGGACGCGTTTTCTGCGTGCGTTTTTTGTTTTTGCTTTTGCGAGTTTGCGTGATTTGCATAATACGGTTCTAGAAAGGAACGATATTATGTTTTGTTTTTGTTATATATAAAAACTTTAAGTATTAACTTATCATAAAAGGTTTTATTAATGTTTATATAATATACGCAAAACATGCAAGCTCGCAAAAAACGCACGCAGAACACGCATAGTGTAGTCAGGCCTTTAGTACTGAAGTACGCATGGCGCCAAGTGGGCAGCCATCTTTAATTTAGCAGCAGAACCATGGATTACTTTGAACTATATAAAATACATAGTTTATATTTTTAGATTCAATTAAGCATATTTATGCATGCGTGTAAAACAGTT